CCCCCCCCCAGGGATGGCGATGTCCAATCTGAGTCTGCGTGGGGCGCCGCTCTGCTGGACCCCCCAGCAGCCCTCAGAAGTGGCGACAGCTTCGCAAATCACAACCCCCAAGGGTGGCGAGGTCTTATCTGCGTCTGCGTGGGGCGTCAGTCAACTGGACCCCCAGCAGCCCTCAAACATGGCGGCAGCTTCGTAGACGTAGCCCCCCATAGATGGCGACGGATAATCTGAGTCAGCGGGGGGCGTCGCTCCGCTGGACATCCCAGCAGCTCTCCGCATTGTCAACAGTTTCGCAGATCGCCCCCCCCCCCCCCCCCCGTGGAGCTCCCAGGCAGGACGGCTAGGTAGGCTGGCGAGGTAGGAGGCAGGGTAGCAGGCAGGTGGGACGGTATGCGAGACGGGTGGCGTGAGGAAGGAGTGGAGGTCCCAGGGTTCTTCAAAACGAAAACCCAACGCAGGAGGGTTTTGAAAACGAATTCCGCTCAGGATGTTGTGGGACAAACACGATGAACATTGCATGTTCCAGGAATTCCAGGAGGTTCCTGAAGGGTTCTTTTGGAGCTGGCTGCGGGGGGCGTCTTGGGGACCTCCTGGCCCGTCTCAATACAATTTTCGTTTGTCTGCGTGGCTATATTCGGCCGTGTAGGATGCATAATGGGGCCATCTTGGGTTGTCTTGTTACCATCTTGCCAAAGTTGCAGGCGACCTCGAGTCGTCTTGCAGACTATCTGGGGCGCTGTGGCCGCCTTGGGATGCCCTTTTTGGAGTCATCTTGGACGGACATGCCACTGTGCCCCACCTTTTCCGCGGGGCCGGTGGCCTGGGTGGGAAGCCACGCAGAAAGTTTGGCATGCCAAGCACCCTTTCGGCAAGCTACCTAGGCTGCGGATCGAAGGCGCCTGCTGGAGATCACCGCCGACCCCTGCCCTTGCCGATGTGGCCAAGCATTGGGCCAACGCTCGGCCAGGCTTTGGGACTGCGTGTTCCTCCAGCAGTTGTGAGACCCCCTGGGGGAACATTTGGAAGGGAGGAGGCGGCGGAGGAGCAGGAAGAGTGGGAGGAGAAGGAGGAGAAGGATCAGTGTAAACCCAAGGCGCATCAATCATGTTGCGATACACCCTCCCTTCAAGCTCCCTCTTCACATGTCCTTACGAGAATGTATTTTCGATGCTGGAAATGCGCCGTTCGAAAACAACTGTCTAAGAACCCTCAATCGGGTCAAAGCACCCTTGCTTGGACTTTAATGCCGCGAACAAATTGACTGTAAGATCCTGACGATCCTGCATCGTACCATAACGCCCTTCCTGGGACTTCAACACCGCGAGTCAACGTGACTGTTGCGCCCTGGCAATCCTACGTACAAATTGACGGAACGCCGTCTCTGGGATGCCAGCCGCAAGATTCCGTTAAGTTGTTGTAGATTTGTGAAACGATTGTGCGCGGCGTTCAGGCGAGGACCACATTTTGAAAAGCACCCGCTTTCCATCTGGGAAGCTCTTGCAAACTGTTGTGACGGATGTGCGCGGCGCTGAGGCGAGAGCCACATGTTGAAGACAAATGCGTGTGGCGCTCAGGCGGGAACCACATTTTGGAAAGGACCCGCCCTCCATCCGTTAAGTCTCTGCACTTCTTTTAAAACGAATGTGTGCGGTGCTGGGGCGGGAGCCATATTTAGAAAAGGACCCGCCCTCCATCCGCTAAATTCTTCCAGCGCTTTGCAATGAATGTGCGTGGCGCTGGGTCGAGAGCCACATTGCCCTCCATCCGTGAAGCTCTTGCAAATTCTTGAGCCGACTCTGCGCGGCGCTGGGGCGAGAGCCACATTGTGAAAAAGATCTGCCCTCCATCCATGAAGCTCTTGCCAGCTTGGAAGGCCCATGTGCGCGGCGCCGGGGCGAGATCCACATTTTGGAAAGGACCCGCCCGCCATCTGTGAAAGTGTCGCAAGTTTGAAGCGTGAGAATCATACATGGTGAGGAAGCCTCAGCCGAAACGCCCTGCACGCCTTACCGACACGACTCGGGGTGCGACAGGGAAGAGTTATTCCCTACCTAGGCTCTGCCTAGAAGGGTTCTTACTCTCTTTGCTTAAAGGGGCCGGGCAGTGCAACTTGCCCCGGGCGGTGCCCCCGGCATCCTCCCCGCGGTTCCCTCGGTTACGTCCCCTTAGTTTAGCGTTGCTGATCTCATCTTAGCTTAGCTTATGTCATTTTAGCTTAGCTTAGCTTCATCTTAGCTCAGGTTTATTTTAGCTTAGCTTACCTTCATCTTAGCTTCGCTGAGCTTTAGCATAGCAGAGCACATCATAGCATAGCATAGCGTAGCATAGCATAGCGCAGCACAGCATATCGTAGCATAGCCCAGCATAGCATAGCATAGCAGAGCGCAGCATAGCATAGCATAGCATAGCGCAGCACAGCACAGCACAGCATAGCACAGCGCAGCATAGCAAATCATAGCATAGCAGAGCATAGCATTGCATAGCATAGCGCAGCAGAGCATAGCATAGCATAGCATAGCATAGCATAGCATAGCGCAGCTTAGCATAGCATAGCTTAGCATAGCACAGCACATCATGACATTTCATATCATATCATAGCATAGCATAGCATAGCATAGCGCAGCATAGCATAGCATAGCATAGCATTACGCAGCATAGCATGGCATAGCATAGCATAGCAACTAATGCTGCTTTCCTAGGGGCTCCAACTTCTAGGTAGGGTCGCACTGGGGTATTTTCTAAGGAAAATGACAGGATGAAGACGGGGGGGCCTTTTGGTACCGTCTTGGGGCCTCCTGGAGTCTTCGTGAAAGCCTATGGGGGCCTCTTGGTGGCCCCCTTGGACCTCTTGGAGGCTTGTGGATGTATCTGAGGGAACTCTTGGCCTTCGGAGGCGGTCTGCGGGCCTCTGTGGGCCGTCGTGGGGCTTTCTGTGGGCGCTTCAGGGGCGGCGGATAACGGAAAGCGCGCGTATCGTGCGATCCGTTGGCCGGGAGAAATGTAACCAGGCGGAGTTTGAGGGGGGTGGCTTGTGTGGTGGAAGGGATCTAGCAGCCAAGACTGAGATGTCTTCGGGTCACTGTTGGAACCTCAAGCCGGCCCAACATAGCCCATCAAGATGGCTCGAACACGCCCTGTTTCCCCAAACAATGCGATTTTCGCGAGCGACATCCTGACACAAATGGGATGTCGTCGACGTCGCTCTTGTCTACAATGGCGATGTTGCGAGGACCATCCTCACACAACTTAGATGTTGTCGACGTCGTCTTGGTTTCGGTATTGTCCAAAATTGCGGTTTCGCTGGGGAGATTTTCAACACATAACAGATTGTCGACATCGTCTTGATATCGCTCACTGCTGCCGCTGACGCCGAACGTGGATGGTCCGTCCAAACGGGGGAAACGTGGCATTCGGACCGCGGGCGGTCCAGATGGGGAACACATACGGTTCTGGAAAGTGGGCGGCCCAAACGGGGAAACACGACATTCGGACAGCGGACGGTCCAAACGAGGAAATCGCATGGCTCTGAGCACTGGGCGGTCCCAGCGGTGACCGCACATGTTTTCTGCACGCTCACTCTGTGACTGATCCAAGTATCAATGGACGGATTAGGTTGGGAACGCGAGACATTCGGACAGCGGGCGGTCCAAACGGGGAAAGCACATGTTTCTTGAAAGCGGGTGGCCCCAAACGGGGAGAGCAAGACACTCAGACAGCGCACGGTCCACATTGTCCAAGACCGCCTTCGAGACTGCCGGACATGGCGATCCTGCTTGGGACATCCCTAAACACATGAGCAATCGTCGGCATCGCATGGTTGAAGGGTGATACTAACCTCGTCTCGCAATCTCTCTGGAAGGGCCTCAAGACGTCTCCAAAGGGCCCGAAGGCAGCCCGAAAGTCTCCCAAGAAGGCCCAAGAGGGCCCTAAGACCCTCCAAGGATGCGACAAGGGCGAGGGTAAGAGCGGACGTAAGATGAGAAATATCGGACAAGCCAGCGATCCCGCGCCATCACAAACAAGTTGCGTTTTCCGTCCCTTGTGCCAAGCAGACCTAGTGGTGTTCGGCCCATCCCGCTGCCGTGCTTGGATCTGGGATAAGGTTTCTTAGGGACTTCGTAGGATCTCTTGGAGAGCCTCTTGGAGTCGTCTTTGCCGCCTCTCGGCTGCCATTTGGAGGCCTCCTGGGGGCCCGCTTGGAAGTTTTGAGGCCTCGGGGGTCACCTTCGGGTGGAGAGTCCAAAAAGCCCCTTCGAGCTCCACCTCTTGGGGGCCTGTTGGGCGCCTCTTGGTCCCTCTCGGGGGGGCCCTCGTGTGGTTATCTAGAGAGCCTCTGGGGCCGTCTTGGACGATTTCCAAAAGAACGGCGAGCGTGCGACACTCTTGCACAACAAGTCACAAGAGAACCATGAAACGACCCTCTCCTAGGAATCGCAGGGGATGTTCGAAGCGTGGGCCCCTAACCACGTCCCCGAAGCCTCTTGGAAAAGTCCCGCGAGAAACCCTGGAGGCGCCCGGGAGCGCTCCGGGAGCCCTTCGGGAGAGTGGGCAACAGTCATTGCAGGGAGCTCGAGGAGACCTGATGACCTTTCACTCAGTGCCTCCCGGCACGATCGCGGATTACTGGGGCCGAAATCTTCAGCTTCTCCCCGGGGAGCGCTTCTGGAAACGGTTTGGCTATGGGATATGTTAGAAGGGCGCAGGGTAGAGGGAGTGCGCATTGCATGTTGCAACCGTTGCGACCATAGACGCTTCACTGCGAGTTTGGTCTTGGTCATAAGCCTCATAGGGGACCGTCGGGATTGTCGAGCTTCTGCGCGCAATGTCTGGAGTTGCCGTTGAGAATGAGCGTGCTTACGCAAGTCTGATTGAGTGTCGAGGGAGGTTGACGCAATCGTCATCAGTGCTTTTCGAGGTTGCCCGCGTGGTGGAATAGTGGTTCCGAGTGTATCGACTGGCCGTGTTGCTCTCCACTTTTGCCGCGCTCCTCTCGCTCTCAGTTGTCCGGGGTCGGGTGCGAGAGCGTGACGGAGACATTGAAGCAAGGTCAGACCCAGTGGGGCTTGCGCCTTAGAATGCCGCGTTACGTTGTGAGGTGGCAGTATGGTACAAGATGTAGGGGGCCCCGACGGGGCACAAACAGTCTGGAAATCGCAATTTGCCCAAATGACGCCACAGGGAGATGGCAGCGCAGACACCCCCATTATTTTACATGCCGAGTTGCAGGACTGGCACCGCACCAGAGTCCGTGTTGCAAGCATGTGCTAGCCATGTGGTTGGTGTCAGGGCAAAGGTAAACCTTTGGCATGTGCGCGGCGGAGGCCGCAGGAGCAATGTTACAGGATCAAAGCTGCCTCTTTGTAAGAGGTGCGTAGACAACCGTAGACATTGCATGCGTGTTGTGCTCAAGGCGTCGCTTCGCGGCGCCCCTTGTCGTGGCTTGGTCGCTTGCTCGCTCCCGATCTCCGTTCACCCAGACACCCTCCACTGAGTGTTGTCTTGGAGATCGCGGGCAGGGAGTGGATCGCTGCTCTGGCCCCTGCTGCTTGTGCTCAAGCGACGGCTTGTAGGGCGATTTGAGTCAACGGCCCCTCCTTGTTAGACGACGGCATTGACCCCTCAGGGTGGTACCGAAGGGCAAATAGGCTTGGTCGGACTTGGCGTGGTCGTTGCTCATGGTCCGTGTAGCTTACATTTATGAGAGAGGGATGTAGAGGAGCAGAAGCGCTCTCATCACGATGACATATGATTGAACAGGGGGTACCGCAGTCCAGGACGAGCCACGCTCTTGACATTTCAGAGGAGTGGCCAGGTGTTCTTGGTGGTTGGGTTGTCGAGGACATGTGTTATGGATTGCCTGGCTGAGTCTGGATCCTCGTAAATCGATGTTGGTGTCTGATGCTTCCCAAGGTTCCGATAAGAACTACCTCAGCACCCTGGATCACTTGCGGTCCAAGATCGAGGATACGTAGCGGGGAGCGGGGATATGGGGAGAGCGGGAGAGTCGGAAAGGATTGGGAATTATGGGTGAAGGAGGTGGCAGGAAGTGGATGGGGGAGGCAAGCCAAAACACCTCTGCCGCTGCAGCTTGCTGTCCAGCTGTTTACATTATTGGCTCATGGCCCTCCTCACCTCGCGGGTTGCATGGTCAAGCTCATATTGCGACTCGTGCAACATGCTGACCAGTTGTTCCGTGTGAGAGGTCCTGTCTTTCACATCGGTGTAGACATACAGCAGTTTGCTGGTGACGGTGTTCTGGTAACCATTGCCAGCACAGGCACGGGCCGAGTGTCGAAAGCAAGCAAAGCCATTTAAGGGATTCCACTTACCCGCGGGCATCTGTTTAAACATGCGAGGATATATCATTCGAGGCTCTGGCGTACGCGTGGCAATGACATTCCCACAGGGACATACCTGTCAAGAGCGAAGGCATGCAGAGTGGAACAGAAAGGTCGATAGTTGGTAACAACTGGCAAGGGCGTGTGAGTTTACTGCGGGAATCTCTCCGTTAGCAAGTGTCGCATTGCAGATAAGGCAAATTCCAAAGGGCAGGGGAGCATGACAATCTTTACTCGGAGCCAAGTAGAAAGTGTCGCACGCATGTCGCACGTGTGGGGCCCACTGCTACATCAGTGTAAAGTTGGTTGGGGGTGTTTCTGTTGTCTTAGCAGGGCCGGGCCACTTCATTTTGGGGGGGCGGTCGTGCGCCCCCACCAGCCCATCCAGAAGCGATACACAGGCGATCTGCTGGGAAAAGGGAATTGCATAGACATGTCAAGACAGAGACCACCTTTTGGAGCCTTCTTGGAGCTGTCTTGGAGCACGCTTGGGAGCCCTTGGGGGGGGTCGTTGTAGGCGGCCAGGATTAGCTCTGTCGGGAGCTATATGGAGCCATCTTGGGCTATCGTGGGCCATCTTGGAGAACATCTTGGACTATCTTGGGACATCTTGGGCCGAAGAGGGCCGCCCGAAGAATCACGCCCCCCCCCCCCCCCACACCTCCAAAGGGGGGCGAGGGGTGAACACCTCCCCGAATGGGATACGAAGGGGGATTAGAAGAGGGAAGAGAAACTCCTGTATACCACCGGCCATACACCCAGAGGGTTGGTGGGATATTCTCGCCCGCCTCGCCGAAGACCTCCCCGCCAGACGTTCGCACAAGTTGTTCTGCCGAGCGCCCCACCCCCTGCGAAGTAGCGACCCCAACACGTCCGGAAGAAAAGTTGTCGGGAACCAGGGTGGCCCGCCAACCCTATTTGCCGACGGCGCCACTTCGCCAAGCAAGTGCCAGGAGCACCCCTCGGTGCGCATGGGCTTGCAGCGCAGATATATGGAGCGTAGGTGTTGCGTGGGCCGAGCACGATGGGACCAGAACGTCATGCTAAAACCACGCGCCTTCCAGCAGGAAGAGCGCAAGACTTTCGGGGGCCTCCAGGCGGGAACAAACAAAAAACGCTCGTCCAGGCGATCGGGCGGCGTCGCGGGCGCCATCTTGTTTGTTTTACGACGGAGCTCCCCCGCGTGTTCCCCACCTCACCGAGGCGCCGAGAAAGGTACAAGAGTGCCATTGTCGAGGCCCCAAGAAGGCCCCGAAGAGCGCCCAACATTGAACAAACATTTAACACAACGCCGTCCCCAACAAGGACACGGCTTGCGTTAAGTGTATTATGCGTATTGGGTAATTTATGGGCGTCTTAGAGCCCGCATCAAAGAGACCAGGGAGGCCCCAGGAGAGCCCCAAGAGATCCCCCAGGAGGGCCCAACGTTCTTCACACACAATTTAAAACAACATCGTCCCCAACAAGGAAGCGGTTTGCGTAAACCAGTCGTTTGAACAAGCATATGATGGTGAGCGTTGTAGGTGCATGTTGATCCGAAGACAGTACGGGAGTTATGTGTTTTGACCGCTAGCGTATTACCATACTTACCCAATCAATCATCAACATATTGACACTTCGTATATCCCACCAGCCCATCCAGAAACAATCGCCATCTGAATTTTCCGCAGTAGGGATAAGCATAAGCATCCAGAACGATAGGCTGGTGACTTACTTGTCAAGCCCTAGGAATCAGCTCAAGCAGACCCAGGAGTGGAATTGCTTAGCTTGCCGTCGAAGATGGAGGAGTGGCCATGTAAGGAATAACCGCAGCAAGAACTTCTGGCGCGACTTCGAACGCAAGTTGTTAAGTGGTATCATATTGCGGTTGTTGCTGGCAAGTGTGAATCCCTCATTTGTGTTCCCTCTTCCCCCTCTTCCACCTCCCCTTCCTTCTCCTCCTCTTGTCCTTCTTGGGGCTTTCATTTTGCCCTGTTGGGACATAGTGGGTTTGTTTGGGGGTCCTGTTGGATTGTATTGGGGGCCTCCTGGGACCCTCTTGGGCTGTCGTCGGGCCGTTTGCGACTCTCTGGGGCCATCTTGGGCCCATGTTGGCGGTCTCGGGAATCTTTTGGTGCCGTCCTTTGCCTTCCACGTTTCCCTGACTGCTTCCTTGAGCTTGTCGGAGGATTATGGTTTGGATGCGCCTAGCGCTGGAAAATATATTATGCGGCCACGCTGGGACGCTGAATGTGTGGTTTTGCCGCTCCAAGAAAAAGCGTTGTCGATGTAATCATCTCTTGGGGTCCTTAATACGGAGTCCTTTTGGGGCCCGGATGGGCCCAAAGCGAGTGAAAGTTGACCATTTCAGGAATTGAATAAAGGATTCGCAGGTGCCCAAGTCAGACTCGTTTCAGTATTCTGTGGACTTTTTGGGTGGGCGCGAGTGCGCGAGTGCGCGCTCGCGCGTGCGTGAGCGTCGGGGGTGAGCCTGCAGGCCAGGACGTCCAGAGCACTCTTTCCTCTTTGACCGTCTTCGGGGCCTTGGAAGCCGCCTCCAGAAGCCCAAATCGCCAACGTCGATTAGATTTGTGGATAGTCTCCACGCACTCACGTCTGCGGTTTCTCCAACCTCTAAGATGACACCAGCTTGCACCAGAAGCCCAAACATCGCCTTGTCCTCCTCCCACTCCGATTCGTCTTCCGCCACAATTGTCTCCCATTCTTCCTTTCTCGACTCGTTCGCCCTGCTACCTCCCTCGCCTCGGTTCCCACCCTCCCCCCCTTCCTCTTTCGCGCTTCCTCCGCATCCCTCTCCCCGCACGTCTGTTCGCCTCGCCCTACGCCCTCCATTCCTTTGTTAATCTTACCTGGTCCACCCTTCCTGACCTCACACCTTCTCCGCCCTCACACTTCACTTCGCCCTTCGCTACCGTACTCCTGCTCCGCCTCTTCATCCTCTCCTCTTTCTCCCTCGCCCACCGCTCCATCCTCCTCCTCCTCTCCTTCCTCCTGCTCCTCCCCCTCCTCATCCTCCTCCTCCTCCGCCTCCTCCTCCTCCCATCTCCTTCCTCACCCCTGGCACGTTGAGTGCCTAAGCAGTGCCCAAGACGGCCGAAGAGGACTCCAAGAGAAGCCCCCCAAAAGGAAACGCGAATTAAGATTTCGAGCCTTCAACCCCAGGAGGCCTCGGATACCGTTGACAGTGCGGTCCACAGGATCCCCAAGGATGCCACCCAAAATATCAGCGAGGCCCCCCAACGGACCCGAAGATTCATCCTGGGCCGCCTCCCTCTGGGATGGTCCAGTGCGCCCGCACTGACCTTTGGGCAACGCGCTCGGTGCGGCCAGGACGGGGGGCTCGAGAACCCCCGAAGGAAGCTGTAGACACGCTGGAGCTCTCGGCGACCCGGATCACAAACCCACTGCTGACGACGAGAGCGTGCAGCAGCGATGGATTTTCTTACCCCCAAGCAATCAAGGCGCGCCTTCTGGCAAAGAGGAATCTTCAAATACTACCAGCCACTCTGCGGCGCTCATGGCGTCGCCGGAAGCTGCAGAAGCAGAGCCCAACGCAACTACGCCGCGCCACCCCCTGTTGTGGAGCGCCGGCGCCCCCCCCCGCTGCCAAGCACTCGTCGACCCAGCCCCTCCGGAACGCATGCGTGCCCCACCCGGCCGCCCGTTCGAAGCGAAGTGCCCAAGCCGCCACCTTCAGCGTGGCCAGGGTTGCCCTGCACGACGGCGCGGGGAACAAGAGGCCAGAACCGGCTCTGTTGTGGAGGACACACACGTGACACAATTGCCGGGATTGCTAGGCACAGATGCGTCGCCTTGACACCACCACTATTTCGGCGTGCATTATCCCAGCGGTGACGGTCACCCGAGGAAGATCTCCGTCAACAAATACCATGACCTTCGAGCGGGGCCCGTCGTGCTCCGGGGGCACCACCTCCGAGGCGAAGCGGAGACAACAGTGTCTGGCGACATCGATAGCATCCGCCGCGATGAGGTCCAGGAACACTTCCTGCGCGTGCCTGGCTAAGCTGCGCGTTTGTCGCGTTGTCACTTGCGCGCGGAAGCGCGTGGTCGTTGCCGCGGATTTTCTCGTTCCGCGTGCAAGAGCGGCTGTGTCTTCCAAGCACCACAGCAGTATTCGCAACAGCTTGAGCATGGCGCGGATCTGCGCGCAGTGCGTCGTGGGGCTAGCCTTGCTTTGGACGGCAAACGCGAGGGCCTGTAGTAAGGGCTCCGCTGGAGGCCACGGCGCCGCGCCCACATTCCCAGCAACTTGGCCCCACATCCGCGCCGGCGAAGCGCACTTGCATGCGGTGCGGTGCCACCCAAACAGCTCCCGTCTTAGAAGCTCGTGTGCGGCTGCGAACGTAGACATGCCTGCGCCCATTTGCGATGCACTCTCACGGGGCTTGCCTGGCGCACCTCCGCGCCGCTTCGCCCGAGCAGCTTGCGGTTCCTGGGGCGAAATGCGTCCCGGCGTCTGCGCTTTGCTGGCAACCTCCATCGGCCACGCGAGGTCGCCGCACAGACGTGCCGCTGCCAGGGGTCCGAGAGTCTCGAGAGCAGCCAGCGCCGCTTCGCCAGACTCTGCTGCAAGAAGCGCGGCGCCAACCTCCGCGCGCGGCCCG